TGTAGATCGTCAATGGTGATGAAAACGCGAGTTGCGGTAGTCGAGTCATTAGCGACGCTTTACCTACGTCGCAGGATGTTTTCGGTGAAATTTTCCGTCGTCTTCGTCAGTCTGGCATCAGAGAAGCCGATCTTCCTGTTTTTGAAGACAAACTCTGGACTCACTTCAATCGCCTCCCTGCTCGGTAATCTTTGTCTCAATCTCATTTTATTTTTATTTTTGTTTCTCAATCTCATACATTGTCTTTTCTCTGCATGTAACCTCCTTAGGTTACTTTGCCCAATCTATTAGATTTGTCTTCTCCTACTGAAACATTTTGGGTTTTTTTAATTAAGTAGTGAAGAAGATTTTCAATGGTTTGCTTCAGATTTTTTGTTATTCCCTCCAGAAATGGGGTTTTTTCAGTGTTTGATTTACATAATAGGATGGTCAAAATTCATCTTCTTTAGGTATGCTTTGGATGTGAATGCAGAGAGAGCGGAAGACGTGCTTATGCACAAGATCCTGAGAACAGGACTGCTCATAAAAAGATTCCCAGCTAAGGTGATCGATCCGCCTTCACAAGCGCCTGATGCGGTCTTGAAACATTCACTTTGTGTTATGTTTTTTGGGCATTCACCCTGAGGGTAAGAGACTAATCTTTTGATCTCTCTGTCTTCAAGCTGGTGTTTGATGCATTGATTTGTGCGATTTTTCTCTGAAACTATTGGTCATTTGCAGGTCTATGATGTTTCCGTTTACGGAATTTATGGACAAGTAAGTAGATGAGACGCTTTTTCGGAATCTTTCATACTGTTTTTTTATCTCTTCTGTTCCTTAGTCTTCTGTCTCTCCAGATTCCAGTACAATTACAAGCCAAGTGAATCACTCGAGGAAGCAGTTTTAGCAGAGAATGGGGTTGAAGATATTTGTGGAGCTGCTGAAATCAGCTGCCCAGATTCCTCTGCCACTGAAACCGACGAGGAGCATGGACCTTCTTCTAGAAGCCAGGCACGTTTTCTTGACACCTATACCCTTCTCTTTTGCTAGATCTTCCAGTTTTGCCGTTTAGATTGGTTTGAGGAGACATAGCAAATCAGTTGAGGGCAAGTTAGCAGTCAGTTCTTTAGGCATCCTGTATAGTTCATCAGCATCTATATATGGCAATATACTTTCTGTTCTGAGTCATGAAGGCATCATATATAGGCGTGGATGTACTGTTTCTATCTGATTCATTCACAATTAATGGGAATGATTTCCCTAAAACAATGTGCTGATTCTATTTTTTTTTGTAGGACATAAGGACCTGCAATGGCTGTGACACAGTACTGCCACGAAAGACTCACAACCTGAAGAGCTTTTATGCAAACACTGTTCAAAGTTTCTTAGAAAATTTCTTTACTCTTTGGGTTTCTTTGGTCAAAACAAATTGAATCAAAATTTGTCGTTTCAATCACGGAAATCCAATCAGTATTGTGGCATTTGCAAGAGATTATGGCACCCTTCAGACACTGGAGATTGGGTGAGAATATTTGAGACCCTTTTTGTTGAAATACTGTCGTCCTAAGTGATTAAATGATTACATCTATGTAACCGACACAATTGATGTAACAGGTATGTTGTGATGGTGTGATGTATGGGTACATGCTGCGGGCGACAACATTTCGGACAAGTGCTTTAAGGTGCAGTTTCATATGTAGATATCAGATTTTGATTCTAAGTACTTTAGACTATTTTCGAAGGATTCTAAGTACTCTTTTGAAATCATGGCTTATCCTGCTTCTGTTGTTTGCATTGCCTTGTTTGTAGTTCCCTAATCTGAAAACTGTCCTCACAACCTCTGTGAGACAGGTCTACAGAAAACACTACAGAGACTGAGCTGCCTGACGGGATTACTGTAGTCAGCAATGGCATGGAAGGGACATATTTCCGGAAGTTTCATGCGTAAGTATTAGATATATCAGCCTTGCATTTCAATTTCGTTAAACAGAATTTTGTTATTGATATAGTTACACAACACATTTTTGGTATTTCCTGCCATAAAATGAATTTTCTTTTAACACTACAGTACGCACTCTATCCTAGGTGTCTGTTATCAGTTTTCTTTTTGCTTTAGAGGTGAGACCAACACAATTATCTTGGAATACTGTTTTCAGAATTGAGTGCAAGTGTGGTTCATGTGGAACAAGGAAGCAGTCACCAAGTGCATGGGAGTGGCATACTGGCTGCAGAGCCAAAAAGTGGAAGTACAGTTTAAAAGTGAAAGACTGAAAGGCACAATGCTAACTCTAGAAAAATGGGTACGCTCATAAAGTTGGCCCTTATATGTACCCTTCATGCTGATTTTTGTTTAATACCTTTGCAAGATTCAATGCTTACAACAAGGTACTGTAGATTGGAGTATCTGGTGCACATACTCTAGAACCCCAGATGTGAGATAAGCAGAGGATGCTCACTTTACTGGAAGGTAGATTTACAGCTCAACTTTTACGCATTGGCTTCCCTTTTTGAAGTTTAATCTTGGTAGATTTGCTTACTACTTATTTTGTATGCACAGAAAAGTATGAGCCAGTCAGTGCAAAGTGGACTACTGAAAGGTGTGCTGTATGTAGATGGGTAGAAGACTGGGAAGAAAATAAAATGATCATCTGTAAATGTTGGTTTTACTGAATTCTACTGTGATTGCATAATCAAACATGGAGTCCTAAATATTTAATTTATACTAAACTTTGAATGTCTTCAGATGTCAAGTAGCTGTACACCAAGAATGCTATGGGGTAAGCAAATCTCAAGACCTCGCCTCCTGGGTGTGCAGAGCATGTGAAACGCCAGATATTTTGAGAGACTGTTGTCTTTGTCCTGTAAAAGGTATTACTGCAGAATTAGCTCATTATATGTTTTTCCCCTTCTTGCATCAGTGTTAGTGATGGCTTTTTTCTGAGTTTTGACTGTCCTATCACATGGTCACATTTAGTACAGTGGTTGCTATAAATTGAACTCAGTTTCCATTTCTCTATACTTCTTTCCTGAATTTTAAACTGAATTTCCACTCCATTTGTTCAAGCGGTGCTTTAAAACGGAAACCAAGCGACATTGAGGGTTTGTGGGTTCATGTAACATGTGGTTGGTCTCGGCCGGAAGTTGGGTTTTTGAATCACGAAAACATGGAGCCTGCTGTTGGAATTTTCAAAATTCCATTAAATTCATTTCTTAAGGTATGATGAAATGGTGGAAGTAGAAAGTAACCAACAGTTTTTTTTTTTWTTMTWTCTTATGACATTTGACTTCTGATATTTTTCTGAAAATATCTTTTAGGTTTGCACCATTTGTAGGKAGACACATGGTTCCTGCGTGCACTGCTGCAAGTGTGCCACTCATTTCAACGCAATGTGTGCGTCACCGGGCAGGTTACAACATGGAGGTTAGTTCTTGTTCTGCGTAGCCTCTTATCATAATCTTCATACTAATATCCTAGTAAAGGTGTTTTGTTAATTGATCGTCTTAGGTTGTGTAACTGATGCTGTTTTCTATGGAAATATTAGTTACATTGCCTGGAGAAGGATGGTGTGCAGAGAACCAGGAAGTCGATTTACTGTTCTTTTCACAGGTTTCCCGGCATATTTGTTAATTGATCTGTTATGTAATATTGGAACCTGCTGGTCGCCTGTAACATTTAACCCACTATGTAGGAAGCCAGATCCAAATAGTAATGTAGTTGTGCACACACCAGCAGGAGTCTTTGGCTCTTCAAATTTGCTTCAGAATCGAAATGGGCGCATTAAAGGTTCAAGACTCGTTTTGACCAAGAAGATAAAGCTTCCAGGTTTCGCAATCCAACCCCAAGCCGAACAGATCCATGAATTTGATTCTTTTTCTGTATCTATAGTAGATCAAACACGAAGGTATGCATATGGGGATCTCATTTAATTGTGGACACTGGACAATCTTTCATTCTTATTATTCCCTCGCAAAACGAATTCAACGAAATTTGGTACTATTGTATCTCTGTTGCTGCTGATGTTTCAGAAGATTGATCATAGGCGATATATCATTCTTTGGCTGCAATCGAGAATCTAAAGTCTTTTATGGCAAGTTTCTCATTCAGAGCTCCATTTATGTCAGTGTTTTGCTTTCTAGGGACAATTTCTTTCTGAATATCTCAGCAAGATCTTGATTTCCTTTTACTTTGTTACATGAGGAAGCATTTTCATCAGGTTTGACTTCATTCAAAGAACGGCTAAAGCATTTGCGGGTAAACGTTGATATCAGGAGAGGTTAATATTTTCTCCATCTTGTTATCCTATAATCTTAATAAAGAATATTATCTTCTTTAGAGGACGGAAAATCTCCGGGTCTGATTTGGTAAATCTGGCATACATGGATGGGGTCTGTTTGCAAGGAAAATTTTTTTAAGAGGAGAGATGGTATTTACTTTACGCCATATTATTCATGGTTTCGATGATGAAACTGAATGTAATGTGCATCTTGAAGGAACTACTGATACCAAAATTCTTGTGCAGATCATTGAGTATCGTGGGGTGAAAGCTAGGAGAAGTGTTGCAGATCTGAGAGAGGCAAACTATCGTTCTCAAGGCATAGATTGTTACGTAAGTTCTGATTGCTTGCGTGCTTAGTTTCATCATTATCCGCTGCTTCTAATGGTCAACTATTTATCGTTTGACAATGCAGCTATTCAAGAGAAGCGAAGAGATAGTGATTGATGCCACAAACTTTGGAGACATAGCACGATTGARCAATCATTCAGTAAGCTTCCCCAAATTGACACAATAGACCAAAACTGCGTAGTAGTAACTAGACTAGAACTAACGATGTTCATGTCTTATGCAGTGTATGCCCAATTGCTATGCAGGTATAGTGAGTATGGGTGATGGAGAAGAGAATAGAATCGTCCTCAGAGCTTACGTAACACTTTTGGTTACTGCTTTATCTTCCCGCAGAATAATAGATATCTGCAAGTCGATAATAACCTTGATCATGAAAACCTATTTCTGCAGGTATGATCATCTCTTTGAAGTTGATGAATCTGAAGATATCAAAGTGCCTTGCCTTTGTAGAGAGCTCCTAACTGCCGCAAATTCATGAACTGATTTGAAGTCGAAACCGTTCTTGCAACGGTCTACAAAATTTGAACAGTAGCGGCATTCGGAAGTTAACCGGTTTTTTCTTTTCTTGGCGGCTGGTTAATGCTGACTGACTTGTTTCCGACTGATTCATTAGATTGTACATTTCCCGGCGTGGCAATTTAGTAAATGTGTAGAAATTTACCACTCTTGGGAAATAACCTCATAGGTCTAAGAATAACCTTAAAAGAGTACTTTACGTTTGATTTGATTTGATTTGATCGATCCTAAAGGTCTAAAGTGTGCATAGCTTTTAATTTCTTACATAATATTGTTTCTAAAGTTCCTATAAGTTATGTCGAATTTTGCTACGCCCATCTTAATTTTAAATCACACTCGGTAAAAATATAGCTTGTCGATGCTAAACCGGGTTCGTAGCTCGAACCGATATAAAACTCTTATTTTTTTACTCCTACTTCAGATCTGAGAGATGCGAAGTTTGTTACAGGGGTATTTACGTCATTTTACAATTCAAAATTTTCGAATTCGCTACGTCTCTCCTCCTTCGCGGGTATATAATCAGAGCGATAACAAAAATTC